CTCAGACAACCTGAATATCCCATTTACTAACATTATTTCATTCATTGCCAGGCATAAAAATAGTCAAAACTTTTGAAAAGCAAAGAAGAACAGTTGCTCCACGGAAGATTTCTGCAAGATCTTCGATGAAAATTAATACGTCAAATTAAACAGAATCCAATAGTTACTCTTAAATATTTGCAGGACAATTTGCTTTCGTCAAGAATCTGTGTCACTAGACGGTCAATAAGCAATTAAATTCGTAGGAAAAATCAAAAGTCATGTTGCCCCCGACCCCCAAAAAAATACCAACTAAAATTTACAAATCATTAACTGCGAACTACAAGACTAGGTTGGTTGTTGTAGAAGTGAATAATGGCTATTTTACGATGTATTAAATAAAGATTTATGTATTCTTGTTTGTATTGCACGAATAGATTTTACCCAGCAAAACAGATAAATGGGATTTATTTCCATTAAATCAATATTTTTTCTGTTTTCTATGCATATTTAATTATTATGCATTTGTGTAGAGTTAATTATATGAAAAATATATTTATTCATTTGTTGGAAAAACGATAAATTGAAAATTTGTATATGTATAAATAATTGTTTCTCCCCCCTAATGTGTGTAAATATATATATATATATATATATATATATATATATATATATATATATATATATATATATATATATATATAGAGACAGCAGTCATATAACTACATTTATGACTAGAAAGAATGAAGAAAACAAGTCAGCAATCTAGTTACAGATAATCAATTGCTTACATTGGAGTTGTGCAATTAATTTAAAATAAAATATTAAATATATATCTTAAAATATATATTAAAGAGCTTTTTGGATTTAACATTGACCACTGTTTTTTTTTTTCTTACACTGTAGAGTATATATATATATATATATATATATATATATATATATATATATATATATATATAAATAAAAAGGCTTAAACACTAATATTCCATGGTCATAATTTATTCCATTGGAATCGTAAATAAATCCAAATCATCAGACCTACAAATTCAAAATGAAAACAGAAAAAAACAACTCCGGAAATCAAAACAGAATTTAGAGAAAGTGTAAGTACGAGGAGGAGGGAGATGAAACCTTAACAGAGAGAATTTTAGGAGATGTGGGGGGGGGGAATTTAAAAAGAGGAGAGAAAGAAAGTCGACGGATGTCTAATGCATAAAGATACATTTCGTGGTGACATATACACACCATAGACAATTAGGATAGGAGGTGGGGAAAAAAAGAAAAAAGAAAAGAAAGAGAAGAGGTGGGGGAGAGAGATGGGACGAAGGAAAATAAAATTGTGTTTACTTAAAGGGCCGCTTTGTAATTGAGAAAATTTGACAAATTAATATCGACTACAGGTTAGAAATCAAATATAAATATATGAAGATGAATATATGAGTATATTTTCCACTAATATTACCTATATATATATATATATCTGTATACAATCGACTGTTCGTATACCTACCTACATATATATAACCTGTTCGGTTATATATATATATATATATATATATATATATATATATATTCTGATTTTTCTTTTTTTATTAAACTTCCATTATTTTTAATCTTTTTGTATAATCATGAGGTTGCTATGCTTGTATATTATAATATTATCTTCAATAATATTAACTATGAACACGGCCACAATGTGCTGACTGTGTTCGGTAAATAAAAATATGCATATTAATAGATAGTATAGCTCTGTTATTATACATCGAGCACTGTTTTATCTGTCAATGTGCGATATTTTTACCTCCTCAATTTGCCAATATATATATATATGACCATCCACACTTTTTGAAGGGCCGATTACAGAGACCTGTTGCACTACGTGCCACAAGGTGCCCAAACGACCCTCTGCAGGTTTTGAATTCAGATTTTTCCTTCTCCTAGACCAGTTGCCATCCAAGGCTATAGAACCCAGTCTGTCCTGCTATTTACCCATAGCTGCGAGGGAAAAGAGGAGGATTCATCCCTTTCCCAAAGGTATTAGCACGTAAGTGAATATAATGTATTCGACTGGAATTCGAACTCGGCTCTCCGATTCCTCAATCCAAGCCGATATTCTTTACTCAGAATTGTCGCAGAATTAACTCTCTATTTTAGTGAAATCAGACAATTTAAAAAAAAACCCAAAAAACTCACTTTTATCACAGTAAATCATATTTAATATTGGCTGGAAGTGTATAAATGTTTTTTTTTTCTTTTCTTTATAACTTTATCATTTTTATTGTTTTTTTTTTTCTCTAAATATATTTTAATTCTCTTTCAGAACCGTATTAATAATACATACAGAAGAACACTTCGTTGTGTATCCCCCACCCCTGGGTTTCTTTGCATGGGCTTTCATAAAAAAAAAAAAAAAAAAAAGGTTTATTGTCAAAAGATGCACAGTTTAGCCTAAGGTTAAAAAAAAGGCATTCAGTAAAGCAGTACAAGTGCTAACTGCTGAAATACTTTCACGACGCTGACGATAGAACTGAACTTTGCAGGAAGACAGCCGGAGAATATATTGAACATTTTCAATAAAATTTTGACCTAAGGTCGATAAATCTCGTAATAAACTTAAACTTTTGACAGTTTTTTTTTAATTGCTGAATTCATTGAAATGGAGAGTTAATTCTTTAACTTTATATATATATATATATATATATATATATATATATATATATATATATATATATATATATTAAAAAAATGGCAAACAAGGTACTGCGATGAAGCTTTTTATTTATTTTTTCTTGTGTTCGAAGAATGTGTAGAAAATGTCCAAATGTCCTAGAATTCGGCTATACATTTAGCCATTATCAAGGATGATTTCAATTTACTTTTTAACTAGGTGTATTGGTTGTGCCTATGTATCTAGAGTTATAGGGGTGTCTTCTTTTTCGAACACAGTCAGCAAACTGTGGCCGTGTTCGTAGTTAACATTATTGAGCGTTGGCTTTTTCTTTTTTCATTATTAAGACTTCCATTATTTTTAATCTTTGCTACATATTCATCAGGTTGTTATGCTTGTATTTTTTAATATTATCTTCAATAATATTAACTACGAACACGGCCACAATATGTTGACTGTGTTCGGAAAATAAAAATATGTATATTTATTATTGATATAATAGCTCTGTTATTATACATCAATCAGTATTTTATCTGTCAATGTGCGATATTTTTATCTAATCAATGTGCCAATATATATATATATATATATATATATATATATATATATATATGTGTGTGTGTGTGTGTATGTGTGTGTGTGTGTGTGTGTGTGAGTGAGTATATATATATATATATATATATATATATAGAGAGAGAGAGAGAGAGAGATGGAGAAAGAGAGCGACAGATAAACGAATATTTAAAAGCCGATTTTATTTTAATGAAATGTGTCAGCCGACAATAAGCGTGGGGAGAAGAAAATCGATTTTGCCTCGAGTTGGGGCGAAGTGACCAAGTACGTTTTACGCTAAAGACATCTAAAAATTCACTTCCCCTCCAACCTCGTCCAATATAACCACCTTTCCTTCGAAGTAAATATGTCATTTAGTCTATTCAAGTCTTTTCAATATTCATTGAAAGAAAAGGTTTCTATAACGATTATTTAAATTCTAATCTCATAAGTAATAATTCAAACTTTTACCAGAAAGCCCACACTTTCAAAATAATGTATTATTCCTAACGCATTTATTTGATGCAACTTAGTCTGGCAGAAGGCCTCAAACGTGTTATTCAAATAAGCAATGCTTAAGAGCAAGTCAGTAAGAGGTATTTTAAGTGCAATAATATTAATGATAGTAAGAAAAAAATAACAGTTAATAATATAATTGTTCTTATTTTATGCGCCGTGTCGATTCAGGCTTATGGCTCTCCACCTCTTCCCATCCTTTGTAGCTCTCAATAATATTTGTCTTTTTGTCATTTCTCCCAGACACCGGTTTGCCATCTACTTTCTTAAGCCCGTTAAGCATGTCATGTGTTGGTTTCCATTGTTCTTTTCCCCTCTATCCGCCGTGTGAGTATCAGATTTTCCAAGCTATTTTTTCTCATTACGTGTCCCCGAAGTTACGGCTCCTTCTTCCCGATGTTAATTATAAGTGCCCTCTTTGTTTGCATCTTCTTCAAAACCTCGTCGTTAATCACTTTCTCTTCGTGGTACCCTTAGCATCCTTCTGTAGAACCACATCTCCGATGCCTCGAGTCACTTCATCCTTGAGGAGACTGTCCAGCATTCGTTGCCGTAAAGATAGATATCACGGAGCAGTTCAGTACTCTTTGCTTTGTTACCAAAGAAATCCTCTTGTCTCGTAATACTCTGCTTAGCTTTTGGAATGCGTCTTTGGCCATCCCAATACGTCTTCAGATCTCAGCATCGCACTTTCCGTCGTTTGTCAGAACAATTCCCAGATATTTAAATTTCTGCGCCTGCTTGATTTTAGCACCTCCGGCCTGTACATTGCATTTCAGGCTCATCTTTTTACTGATGACCATGAATTCTGAGTTCTTGTAATTTATGCATAGTCCCTTCTTCTCGCTCTCCTTCGCTACATTCTGTGGGAGATTTTGTAGTTTCGATTCCGTGTCTGTTATTAGCACTGTGTCATCTGCATATATTATGCTGTCAAGATTGTGGCCGTCAAAGATGAATCCTAGTACGATTTCCAGTTATCTCAGAAATGCCTCACTGTAAAGGTTAGGTGCGTGAGGCAAGTATGTATCTTCTCACCGGACTTATTAAAAAAGATAATAAAAAAACTGTTATGATAATTAACCCCCACACACATGGACGCTCCCGGCTATAAATAGGAGCAGGTACTGCCTTTTGAAGAGGGAAGTTTCTAGCAGTCAGCTCTGACAGTCGGACCGAACATTCTTGCTGTAACATTCTCGTTTCTGTTTCTGTTAATATATTTGTTTAACCCAATTCCTTCTTTATGTCTTTATTTCTGACACTAACAATGCCACAACATTTAGATAGATAGATAGATAGATAGATAGATAGATAGATAGATAGATAGATAGATAGTGTTATGGTAATTTACCCACTCACGATGGACTCTCCCAACTATAAATAGGAGCAGGTACTGCCTTTTAGAGTGGGAAATGTCCAGCAGTCAGCTTTGATAATCGGACCGAACATTCTTGCTGTAACACTCTCGTTTGTATATGTTTGTATTACTATTTCAGTTAATATATTTGTTTCACTTAATTCCTCTCTTTGTGTCTTTTTTCTGGCCCTAACAAGGCCAGAGTTATGACATAAAAACGTGAAATGTATTTTTCTGCTTATTTTCCTATAAGATGCGCAGCTGGTGTGAAAGCAGCCCAGAGGGAGAGTTCGCCGTGCTGAGTTCGAATTCAGACTTAGTTCATTATATTTTCTTTCGCGCTAACAACCTTTGATAAGTTATGTGTCCATATATTTTCCTCCCAGATATAGGTTAAATATTAAAGCAGGCTTGATTGTCTAACAATGGTTGGCAATCAACGTCGGAGAAGAATAGCTCTGAATTCAAAACTGTATGGATACCTGGCGCAGTACAATTTTTAATAATTTTCTCAAAATAAGGCGATACTGTTACTAAGACGCAAGGCGCTCATGGAATTAAAATAACGTTAGTACATCTTATCGACGAAAAAGACAATAAAAGAACAGGTTTGAGAAAAACCGAAAATGGCGATTGATGTTGTATTTAATCTTTTGCAGCTGGTAGATACCCGTAAAGCAAGAAGCCGGAAGAGAGTTCCACAGGCTGGAAGGGCGAAAAAAGAAAGTATTAGCATAGAACTTACGGTTACATTAAAAAATTTCAACAGTAAAATGGTGAGACACTTATGTCAACTTAATAGTAGGAATCCATTCATAGAGTTGAAGCTCTAAAAACAGAAAGAACATAAGACCAATTGCCCTGAATAGACGGAGGAAAATTACGTTACGAAGGTAGGAAAGTGACTGGTTGAGATGCCGGGTCAAGACACATAATATTATGGACCCTGTAGATGTGGTATCATTATTAAATGCACGGACAAGTGGTAGATATATAAACGAATGGACGTCATGGGGTTCACAATGACCTTTATAATCTCGGCGGAGCTCAAACTACGACTGCGCCCATGAACTACAAGTTACAGCAGATATGTCGTCCACTTATACGTCCTACATAATGTTAAGACATGATTGCTAATAGAGTCTTCTTGTAGCTAATATTTTAACATTATGTGTGATGTATTTCTATGATATCTGTGTCGCAGGAAACTACCAGTTCAAAGTCCTATTTAGAATCGAGAATACAAAAATGTGAGGTGTTATTTGTTAATCACTACACCAAGAAGAGACTTTCTAAGTTTTTCAGATTTGACTAGTGCAAAAAAATTGGATTCATATAAAGATATGGAAATTCTGGTAGAGCTTATCTGTAAAGGGCAACATGAATAGACTAAAAGAAAACACGGTTTGTCGGCTAAGATGAATTTTACTTTAGTCTTTATATATATATATATATATATATATATATATATATATATATATATATATATATATATATATTCCCAATTGTTATTTTAGTCTATACAACAAGTTTTTGTACAGAATCTTTTGTAACAATTTCATTTTACACACACACACACACACACACACACACACACACACACACACACATATATATATATATATATATATATATATATATATATATATATATATATATATACACAAGGCCAATTTGACGTGTGCTGGCTCCTGTCTCAGCAACGCGACGATTAGCAGTAGCAAAGTTCGTATGACTAGGCTGAAACAGCCGTGCAGCTTCGCGCCCATTACTCGTCATATAGCAGGATATAAAAATCATATCTGCCTGCTCATAAGATATCTTGCTGTTTTTAAACGGAACACTTCTCAGTTAACTCACTACTACGCATGTTAAACGTTGAAGACAGACCAGTCACAAATGTACACGAATGACAAATGTAACCTAGTCCACAGCACCATCTAGCGTAAACTTTCTTTAAACTTTATGACACTAAGATACAAGAGTTGCGGACATGTGATTATATGGACTTCTGTCCTTGTTTTGGTGTGAGGAACACGCCACCAATGTTTGTAAGTTATTTTTGATACAGCGCACACACACACACACACACACACACACATATATATATAATATATATATATATATATATAAATATATATATATATATATATTAATTAAGAAAGAGACAACCTTAAGGTTATCTTACTCTTAATTATTTAATTAATATTTTCTGATTACATCCTCTTTGGAATTATCCACACGGATTACCAAACCCTACATTTCCTTTATATATATATATATATATATATATATATATATAATGTAAAACTCAGAGTATATATGCAAGAAGAATCGGAGAGCCGAGTTCGAATTTCAGTCGAATCCATTACATTCACTTACGTACGAATACGCTTGCGAAAAGCATGAATCATCTTCTTCTCAGAACAGACTGGGTTCTATAGCCTTGGGTGGCAACTGGTCTACCGCAGAAAGAAATGAAACCTATTGCGGAAAAAATCTGCCTCTTCAGTTATGTATCGAAAGATACATGGTCGCCTAAGCGCGCATTATGCAGGACACATTACTGACTGATATATGTAAAAGGAAAATATCAATAAACACAAAAGAAAAACTTATCTTAGCGGACGCGTTTCCGCCGACGAGGGACTTTATCAAAGCAAATGTAAGAATTTTATTTTGTGACAAGTTTACTCACTTTCTGAATTTCTGCAATGAGGAGTTATCACTATTTACAGTCAGAAAAATGTCCTCGTATTCATTTTTATAATTATGATCACGACCTTTCGATCGTTGAGTTTTCCGCTTTTCATCAGGTGTCTTCCGATCCTGGAAACTAACAGCAAATTTTGAACTTTTTGTTCTTGTTCTGCTTTCTATCTCTAAGGATAGCTTGGTCTCTTTGTTTTGTATTATTTAGTTACTGCTCAAATGTAATATTCAAGAGTCAAGTCTTCATATGTTTGCTCCTAATCAGTGGGAGGCTGTTATTTGGGACTTGTGCTGAACTAGGTTAAGGTTAAGAGACAATCATTGTAAGAGCAGTTTGTAGACATACAAGAGAAACCTCAGCATTTCACCGTCGAGACAGTGGTGTTAGCTCCTCCTTAATTCCCAAATTGTCACTAGGGGTCATTCTCTCTATACTATAAACACTGGGCGATTTCTCGCCTCGTTCTCTTTTTCATTTCTTCATTTCAGCGACTAGAATGTAAGCTCTCTTAGAAGATCCGCGTTTTCCCATTTGTGGGAGACGCCATGAACATTATACACACATACACGTACGAAGGAACATTCACCAAAGAACAGACACAAATGTTTACACACACACAAATGTTATTGTCCATTGTAAAATTGTTTTGTTTAATGCATATATTTGTTTATAAATATATATATCGGTTTTCTTTGTTTGTGTTCTTTATCTTCAGTTGGACTTAACTTGAGACCGGCAATTTTCTTGCAGTTGCACCTTTTAATATCCTACCAGGAGTTACATCCGTGTTTCTAATACAACAACACGCAAACACACACTGTCCTCAACAGTGGCTCCGAAATGTTATTCTCTGGTTCGCGCCTGGATGTAGAAAAGCTAGAAATGGCCCACGGCACACTCACGATGGAATAAAAGATGAAAATAAAACGATCATTGTTTCTAATGATTTTTTTTTAAATTCAAAGATCCGTTTACACGTTCTGGGTGAATAGGTAGGTAACACTTTGGAAGAACTTCTGCCGGCTAATTGTTGTGTAAAAAGACAACCCAACTTCTCGACACGAATTCTTGAACAAGCACTCGTTCATCTACTATGAACAGGACGTCAGCTCACAGTTACGACTGCCGTAAATTATGTCGTAACGCATAGCGCTTTCCAATTCGTAGGCTTCTCGCACTGAACTACGGTATCCTCTATAACTGTGTTATTAATCTGTTATTCACTCAACTTTTGTTCCAGTGTTTCCTTGCAGTCTTATTAAACAGAATTACGAGCGTTATACGAACTTTATAACAATAATAGAAAAACTTTCTTGTGCATTTCGTCATTTCATGATCCCATTGAAACGATCCGTTTGTAATATCGTGATTTTCCAAGATGTGGCACAAGGCCGAAAGCAGTGGGCACGCAGTGAGAATCGAACTCACTACTCAGTCGTAATTGACCTAGAGAGACAAGCTTGCTAACCATTAAACCTCCACGAGGTGCCCAGTGATTTTCCAAGCGTAGCTTAGATGTGCCACAAGAGACAAAGTAGGCGACACCCAGTGAGGATCGAACTCACTACTCAGTCGTAATTGATCTAGCGAGACAAGCTTGCTAACCATTGCACCGACTCGAGGTTCTCACCTTGATTTTCCAAGAATAGCTTAGATGTAGCACAAGGCCGAAAGCAGGGGGCACCCAGTGAAGATCGAACTCCCTACTCAGTTGTAATTGTTTAAGCGTGACAATCTTGCTAACCATTACACCACCTGCAGGTCACCACCTGTAATATATTCTTACATATCTAATTCCTGGATTCTCTTGTACGGTCTGGGTAAATAGGTAACGACTTTGGAACAACTGCCGCAACTGAGATCTCCGAAGAATAGAACACCTTTCCCGCCCAGTTGCGCTTCCTACCAACTGTATGCCGATCAGATCATCACGACGAGTGGCTGGCAACTCGAACGGGCGGCATCGGAACAGCCATAATGGACAGTCTGCCTCATTAACTGTCGATTCGGAACTCTCCTTCATCCCAAACGTGATCGTTAATAGAAACCTGCGAACAGAAATCCTAAACGCTGTGTTTGTTATCCCTTGACCAGAAAACGTTTATATATTTATAATTTTATTCGTTTTCGGTCCAGTGGGTGGCCGCTTTGATAAACCTATTTCACAGACCTTTGTAAAACATAAAGCACATTTCTCATATTGATGAAATCACACTCTATTTATTTCTATGTGGTCATTCCAATATAATGTTACACAGCTTAAAAAGACAGGTTTATATATATA